CCATCCACCCATCCACCCATCCACCCATCCACCCATCCATCCACTCACCTACCAACCCGCCCACCCATCTGGGGGAGACCACCACGCTGGGTTCTCTTGAGAAATTAAGCCCTCTGCCTCCATCTTTCCCTGACCATTACTTCCGCCCTGTCCACTGAGATCCACAGAGGCGGCTAGATTGAACTAGGTAGTCCTTAACTGGCTAAAAGCATGTGATCAAGTCCAGCAGAGATGCCAACGTGTCTCACTGAAGCACTGGGGTGAGAATCGCCTCCCCCACCCCACCGCCCGCCCAGGCTGATGGCTGGAATGGAGGCTCAAGCAAGAGCCTGTGAGAGTCCAGGGCTAAGACGTGAGATAACATCTCAGCTGAGGCCATGGGACAAAAAAGAATCATAGCTTCCTAGCAGTAAAGGTGCCAGGCTCGCATACATCAGACTATCGGTTGCAGTGCTAACTGGAGGGCTGTGTGCCTGGTGCAGAATTGCTCTGTTTTCCCTTACAGCCAGTGCCTGCCAAGTTTCTCTTCCCTAGCACTCCACCTTGACCCCCACCCATCTCCCTGATTGAAATCAATAAAAGTCATGAGCTTTTGGTCTTGTGGCCCTTTGTTTTGCACTGGGTCATCCCTGAGCGCCTCAACTGAAGAACAGTCTCTCTTTGTCTTTCTTTTGCATCCATGTGTCATATCGCCGGATGGGAGACCCGAATCCTCTGAGGGTGTTTTGGTATCCATCTATTCATCCATCTACCTATTCAACAAGGATTTCAGAAATGCCTTCTATGTGCTCAATATTGCACCAGGCACTGAATATACACAGATGAACAAAACATATAGATTATAGAGCTTGCATTGCTATGGTGGAGATAAACAATAAAAAATAGTAGTAACTAACACCCACCGAGTCCTTACTGTGTGTGGGGACCTGTGTCTTATTTCTCGTCATTCTCACGGCAGCCCTATCAGTGGACACTGATTTTACTTCTGTTTTTTAGGTGAAGAACAGGCACTGTGAGGCTGGCTGACTTGCTTAGCATAGGGAGGGAATAATGGAGACAGGTTTGGCAGTTAGTCTCCACACACCGAATACAAACTCTTTGAGAACAAGGGCCTTGTTTTTATTTTTATTTTTATTTTTTGCATTACAGGGGATTGAACCAATGCTGGGCCGGTGCCCTACCACTGAGCTACATCTCCAGCCCTTTTTTATTTTCATTCTGAGACATGGTCTTCCTAAGATGCACAGGCTGGACTTGAATTTTCAATCTTCCAGCTTCACTCTGGTATTGTGGGTGGGAGCAGCTGGGACTGTGGTTGGCGCCACCATGCCCAGTTCCCTTGTCCCTTCTGTTCACCACTGTGTCCACAGATGGGGCTCCTGACCACGGTCACATGAACTACTGGATGAATCCAGATTGCTTGGACTGGGGAGATAGCTCAGCAGCACAAGCGCCTGCCTGGCAAGTGTGAGGTCCTGAGTTCGATTCCTGGTACCAAAAAACAAACAAACAAACAAGAAACCAGACTGCTCTAAGCCTGTCTTCTAATTAGTCTACACTCTCTAGAGCATGAGGCTGCTGGTTCTCCTGCTCCGCATCACCTGGGCCCTGACCGGGATGGGAGCTGCTTGCTCCCGCCGGCCATTGCCTCCCTGTCTGCCCTGCCAAGCCCCTGCTCATCTCCCTCCTGTGCAGGAGTGGCGGAGCAGCAGGGTGGCCCTGACCTGAGACTGCTGCTTTCCTGCTGCAGTCCCCAGCCTCACATCGGAGAGGCCACTGAGAGTGACTGTGAGGGCAGAAGTGGTGGAGTTGTCTGGCGGGAGGCTCCCAGGTGGCTCCTCTGCCTGGGCTGTGTGATGCCGGGTAGGTCACTTACCCTTTCTGATCTGTTTCTGCGTCATACAACATAGTACGTTGGGAAGAGCCAATGACGTGCTGCAGTGAAAAGCCCTCAAAACGGAGCCTGCGCAGAGTAAGCACTGTGTAAACTGAGCTGTGGTCATGCCCGCCTCGGCACGGAGCTTCAGCAGGACGGATGAAGGATGAGATGGAAGGACTGCCTTCAAGGAGCAGTGGCCACCCAGGGAAAGCAGAGGCCACCCATGCAAAACAGAAGGAGCCGGTGATGAAAGCTGCCGTGTACCGGGTGATTGCTGCACCTGGACAGGCGCGCCTTCCACGCACATTCACAGCAGACTGCTCAGCACCCCTCTGAAGCAGAATTACTTTTCTTCCCATTTCACAGATCTGGAAACCAGATTCTGCCCATTGCCTAAGGCCACAGAGTGAGGCAGTGCCCTGCAGCAGAGGCCGGGGTCTTCTCCTCCCGGGAGCAGAGTGGGGAGCCCTAGAGGCTTCTGGCCTGGAGAATTCCAACCAGTGACCCAGGGCCCGGCCGCGTCCTGGCTAACCTTGTCTCCAGCCCCCCCTCCCCTCGGCGTCGTGCCCAGTGTGAGGAAGAAAGGCTGTCCTGTGCTTGAGCTAGCTCCACCCAGCTCTGCCAAGGGCCAGGCGGGAGGACCAGTGACTCCTGCACTCCTCCAGCTTCCCGCCTCCACGATCACTGGAGAATCGTACTACATGCAGATGTGGCGACAGTGGGCTGAAGTCATGCGCTTGTAACCAGCACCATCCAGGTGGCTCAGTGGCTGTCCCAGGGACCACTCCAGGTCCCCAGACTGAGGCATCTTGACACCCCCTGGGGGGCTTGCTGAACCCACATCCTGGCTGGCTGCCGGAGCTAGGAATCGGCATTGCTCACAGTCCTCGGGTGGGCTGAGGCTGAGACTGCACCCTGCGGACCTGGGCGGGAGCCCCCATGGTGCTGGCAGAGTCACCTGTGCCCTGGCCCAGCCTCTGCAGAGGAACTGCCCTAGAAGAGATGCCTAGTCCACCCCTTGGTTTCCTCACTGTCAAAAGAGAGGCGAAACCAGAGGTGGTGGCAAGGCACACATGTAATTCCAGAACTCTGGGAGGCTGAGGCAGGAGGATCAAAAGTTCCAGCCCAGCCTGGGAAATTTAGCTACTTGGCCTAAAAACACTGGGTCTGAGTGGAGAAGAGAGGCGAGGCGGTAAACTCAGAAGGCGCCTGGCCAGGGAAGGGGCGACAGCTCAGGGTCACTCACCGCCCACGTTGTTGCGGTAGGTATTGTACATCTCCTTCACGCGCCGGTAGCGGAAGGCCAGCTTCCTCATCCAGTCCACGCCGCCGTGCACGCCTGCCCCCAGGCACAGGCCAGCACCCGGGGCCGAGCCGTGGAAGCCGTCGGTGGAGAAGTTGTACGTGCTGGGGACGCGGAACCGGGCAGATGTGTTAGTGTGGGGGACGCCGGGCCGGGGGACCCACAGCAGGGCCTTGGGCCACCGTGAGCCCTCCGGTCATTCGCAGGGGCTGCGTGGGTGTGTCGGGGGTGGGGGACAAAGCTACTACACCACCTCCCCGGCACCTTGGCCTAAGTGGCACCCGTGTCCCTTTTTGAGCTCAGGAAAGCCTTCTGTGCGCTCCCTTTGGAATCTGACACCTGAAGGGAATTCCACAAAAATTGCCAGGAATCCCGGTCGCTAGGGAGGCTGATGCAAGAGGATCATGAATTTGAGGCCACCCTAGGTAAGGCCCTGTGTTAAATAAAAAGTAACAAGGACTGGGGATATAGTTCAGGGGTAGAGTGCTTGCCTAACATGCAGTCAGTTGATCACGAAAGAAGCTGTCAGTCAATCCCCACCACTTCCGGCACATCTTTCTAGGCCTGGCCACTCCCCTTTCATCCCTTCCGCGAATAACATGTCTTTGCACAGAAGTTCTCTTTTAATTTTTTAGTGAACGAGCTACAACCCATTGCCTAACTGGGACTTTGTGGATGTAAAACTCAGCCCACAGCAGCAGCTGGGCTGTGAAGTGCTACCGGTGGACAGGGACATTTCAGAAGTGGAATAATGTCAGGGACACAAAAAAGGGAAAGAGCTGGCGGCTCGCCCCGCGGCAGGACAGCTCCCTTCCCTCAGCCACAGCTCAGGTCCGGGTTTGCAAAGCTGCGGAGTAAGAAGTGTGGTGCTGCGGGCACCGGGGTGTGTGGGACAGCCGGACCAGAGGTCTAAGAGAAACAGAAGAGTAGGGGGAGGCAGGGCGGGCGGCCGCGGCGAGCAGAGTGAGCGTGGCTGGTTTTTTCTCTTTATACTGTTAGGTCGTTCTGCACTCTCTGTAAGGAGGGTACGAGTGGGAAAGAAGGACAGCTCACTGTGTAGAAGATGAGATGCAGGAGGAATGAAGTAGCAGTTGGAAACTGCATCGTAAACGCTCCCAGCAGCTTGCCCTGCCGTGACGGGGATGGGAATGACACGGGGGCCTTGCTCCCTGGTGACACAGGGCAGGGTGACCTGCTGCCCTCACTCACTGTCTAGCAGTAGGGCAGTCACCTCGGGGATCCCTGGGACAGGCAGCAGGGTCCCCCCAGAGTAGGCTATGGGGTAGTCATGGTGACTGTGACAGCAACTTGTATGTTCTTGTTGTTTCTGGGCCATAGAACCTGGTGTGTGTGTATATGCACATGTGTGTGCATGCAGGCACACTGGTGTAGAGGGTGTCAGTGCCCAGGGGTGTATATGTGCATATTTATATTTGTGTATGCATATGTGTACACATGTGTACACATACACATCATGTTAATATACATAAACATGCATATAAATATATACCAAATACATAGCTAAATGTACATATGCACATACATGTCCACTGTATATATAGTGTATATATGAATACATGCACGATATGTGCATACATATATATATGCACAAATCTCTAGTTACAGATATGCATTATGTTATAATTTATTTGAGAAGCACAATTATGTTGCAGATTACTGCCAACCATGAGGGAGCGTTTCCTAAAACAAAAGTAGTACACAAGGGCTGGGGATTTAGCTCAGCGGCACAGCACCTGCCTGGTAGGTGCGGGGTTGTAAGTTTGATTCCCAGTACCGGAAAAAAAAAAAAAAAGTAGTATACAAATCATAAGCGACACAACTTTCATTAAAACCTCACTGTTATAAAATAAATCACAATTTTTTCCAAAATAATAGAGTGACATTATTGTTCTGCAGATATTCTGATGTTTCAAGTCAGTCAAAAATATTTCCATTGTTCTTCATGTGGGAGTTGTGAGAATTGCTACTTTGTGTTTCATTTTGTTTTGAGACAGGGTCTGGTTATATAGTTCAGGTTGGCCACGAACTCAGTATGCAGCTGAGGCTGGCCTCAAATTTGTGGCCATCTTCCTGCCTCAGCCTCCTGCATGCTGGACTTCTTTCTCAACTTCTACCCCTTGTGCTGTCCTTTGCGGGAGGCCACATGTGGCCAGAGATTTGAATTCTGGGAATTTCTCAGCTGAGGGTGCCTTCTCCGGCAGTGCTGTCTGAGGCTCTGGCTGCTACACTTAGAGCATCCTCGGGTGGAGCCAGAGTGCCTGTCCTGTCCACACTGCTCCATGAGGTGGTCTCCAGGGCAACCGTGTGGATGTGGGGGGAGGAAGTCGATGACTGTGTGAGACAGAGCAGGAGGGAACAATACATTCGCCCATGTCACTTTCCATACATATTTGCGAGTGGAAGTGTGTGAAATTGGAAGCAAGGAACTCATAATGCTGGAAATGGTTAGCTTGAGATGCCAGGAATGTGAGCAATTAGTTTTCTCCTCTGCTCTCTACTAAATTACTCCAAAACTTAAAAGACCCATAGAAAATCTGGTATGACTGCTTCAACAGCCTTTTTGCACAAAAACTTCCCTCTGCTGGGAAGAGATGCCAGTGGACACAAACAGGGGCCGAGGATAAAAAAATATGTTCCGCTAGGAAAAGGGAGCAGCTAGCTACTCACACATGCAGACAGCCTCTGCCAAGGACTGCATCTGTGCTGGGTGCTTTTCTAGCAGGCTCTTATGCCCTGGAGCACAGCTCGTGGCTCTAGAACCTGTTTTTTCTCCTCCTTTTTTTTTTTCCTTTGGTTTTTTTGAGACAGGATCTGGCCATATAGTGTAGGCTGGCCTTGAACTCACTGTGCAGCCCAGATTGGTCTCGAACTTGAAGTGATCCTCCTGCCTCAGCCTCTTGAGTGCTGGGATTACAGGTGTACGCCATCACCACACCCGGCTAAACCTGCACTTTTAATGCCATGTTGTCCCTCTTCTCAGTGTAAAAGTTTCCATCTTGCTAGAATTTACTCTTGGAAAGGGACACCCTGACATCCATTTGGAAGATGCCCTGGCAAGAGATGGGGATTCCTTGTGCAAGGCAAGGGGGGCTGTCCAGGATGTACAGAGGGCTGGTAAGCCCTGGGGCCTGGGTCAGGCCGCCTGGTTTTCTGAATCTTGCCCCCCCCTGTGTGTGATCTTGTGAGCTTGGGCAGGCTTAGCCTCTCTGTGCCGCCCAGGTCCCAGCTGTGACATGGGATGATGGAGAGAGCATGCATCTCCTCGGGGAACCGTGAGGGTCAAGGGGCTGAGCGATGTGAAGCTTCGGGTAGGGTATGGCATGAAAGGAGGGTGCTGTGGGATTGGTTCTTACCCCTAACGGAAGAGCCTCAGACAAAGCAAAGAGATATGACACTTGGGCAGGGCGTGGTGGCGCACGCCTGTAATCCCAGCACTCGGGAGGCTGGGGCGGGAGGATCCTTGTGAGTTTGAGACCAGCCTGTGCTACAAAGTGAGCTCAAGGCCAGCCTGAACTGCATAGCAAGACCCTCTCTCAAAAAGACGAAAAAAAAGAGATCTGACACTTGGTACTTGGTGTACAGTAAGTACTCAGGAAATATTTCTTTCCTCCGTCACAGTTTGTCTTTTCTTTTGAACAGGGGAAAGGAAGAAAAGGAAAAAGAAAAAATATTTGTACATACAAAATAGTTAAGATAGTTATACAGCCAGTTTCTCTTAGCTCATTGAAAAGGAAGTTTTGTGCTAATATTGTTTGGACAAGATATCACGCCTATATTTTGTACTCTGAATAACTACTACCAAGACAACAAAATGCAGTGTATCAGCTATTGTGACTGTCTTACTAACCTGTTTTGAAACTCACTTTCACTGTTATGTTTATCTTTTTTTTCTTTAAAATTGAAAAAAAATCAATAAAATTTTAAAATATTAAAAAAGTATTTCTTGCACAAATCATGGGACCTTGGCTTCTACTAGGAAAAACCCCTTTGTACTGTGGATCCTTGAAGTGAGGTGTCTGACAGCAGAGCAGGAGATGGGGTGCCGTGTTCCAAGCCAGCTGGCAGCGCAGGAAATGATCCAAGTGGGGAGCCCTGGTCACTGGGTTGTGACCCAGAGCTTCCCTGAGGTGACTCGGTGGAAACGGCCAAACACAGCCGCCCCTGATCTGGCGCTGGTTTGGTCCAGATGCTGAGAAGTCCCGGTGGCCGCAGGAGCCCTCTCCCTGCCAGTCGGATTGCAGAAGGGACTTTCTGAGCAGGCTCAGGAGAGGGAGGCAGGCGTCTGGCCATCCATCACTTCCGACTCTGCTGGCCTTTGAAAAGACTCACAGAACTCAGCGGAGAGGAAATGAATGCTGATGCCTGGTTTTGGATGAAGTTGGGAGACCTCAGAAGCAAATACTAAGGGAAACGAAGAGGCACCCTACACCCAACACATTACTTGGTCGAAGGGTATTTTTGATGGGCCTAGAGGTGTTGAATTGTGATCATTTTGGATCAGCGAAGATTAACCATGGTTCCATTTTCATGGTTTCCCCAGGAGTGGGCCTGGAACATTCCAGCTGCGGTCCTCTGCAGCAGCCTTGTTGTAAGCTATTGGTTACTTCATTTCCAGAAACCAGGTCCTAGGAGTGTTTCCTCCAGAATGAGACACATCACTTACCCATTTAAGAAATGTTTCTTTGACTATGAATGATATCAGTTTGATGTTAAAACATATGCATTCTTATGAATGCAGTGAAAGCTCTGAAGACTATCAACCTTTTAAGAAGTCAAGGTCAGGGTGATGGAGTTTTTTACAGTATCACGTATTTTCTTAGTACAAGACAAGACAAAACAGGGCTGGGGATATAGCTCAGTGGCATAAGCACCTGCCTGGCAAGCACAAGGTCATGAGTTCTATCCCCGGTACCGCAACAACAACAACAAAAAAGACAAAACAAAAAACCTGAAAAGCCCGAACAGAGAGAGGTCAACATAAGCAGAGCCGGCAATGACAGATGATGGAAACAGGCTGAGGGTCGGGGTGGGTTATGAGTTTTGAATTTGGGGAAGCCCCAGTCCCAGTTCTGACCGGAAGGACAGCCATCTTGTCCTGATCACCAGTCCGTCCTTCCGACCCTACTTCCGACTTCAAGATGAGCTTGATCACCCACCAATCAAGAGGCACTTTGCACTCCCCAAATTCCTACCTTAAATCTTGGCCATTGTCATCTGACGAGACATCATCAACATGGATCTGGTCACAATCCTGCGGAGAATTTGGCAAGAACAGAAAGAAACATGCCTGGTTAATCTGAGGTAGGCCTTAGTGGGCTTCCTGAGCGCAGGGGTGGGGTGAGACTGAGGCAGGAGCCACAGCCGCGGGTTCTAGTCAGGCTTTGAACGTCAAGACCTTGGACTGAGTTTCATTGCGTCTTTCTCCTTGGTCTCCCTATAAGTGGGCAGGCTGGCTCTAAAAAGGGTGAAAAGACGACTTATCATCCTAGTTGGGATAGTTCTGCAGGGGACTCTTGCTCGGAACTGAGCCTATGTTGCCATCACCACAGAAAACTCCACGGATGCTGGTGCTCTAGAAGGACAAAGGAACTCGGCCAACAACTTCTTTACCAGGGTGATAGACTCCCTTAGGAAGAGTTTGCAGGGCCAAGGATATAGCTCAGCGGCATAAGCACCTGCCTGGCAAGTGCAAGGTCCTGAGTTTGATTCCCGGTACCAAAAAAAAAAGAAGAAAAGTTTGCAAAGTGGCTTATCTATTTAGACCAACCCATGTTGCAGAGTATTTTTTGAAACAATGGTCAATGTGCAAACTCAGGCTGGCTTCCTCTCTCTGTTTAGCTGCTCCTAGGAATTACGCACTTTGCCGTGCGGTCTGCACTCCTACATCCGGACCATCCTTTGGAGCTGAGCTGAGCTGAGCTGCCCTGGGCCTGCAGCACTTATTAAAGTCCTAACCCCGTATACTGCACTTCCCATGGTCTCTACTAGGGTTTGCCTCACTTTACCCAATTACTCGGCTCCTGTGGGTACCCAAGTTTAAGGCCTCTGATCACAGCCATCTATGTAGACGGAAAGACCCCAGCGCCAGCAATCTAGACATGCTCCTGGAATTGGAGTTTAGAGGCGACGCTGACTTTACAGACCCAGGTGCAGAGAGAACAAAATGAACAGCAGATCCCCCTGGAGCAACACCTCGCAGACCCCTCAGTTCTTCCTCAGGCCCTAGGGCCCCGCTGAGGCCACACAGCCTCAGGCCCCGGGACAGGGTTCTAGGGCTGTCCTTGATGTCAGGGGAAAGGCATGTGAGGAGGCTCTGTTTTTCTCATTTGAGAGGGGGTTGTCAAGGGCGCTAAAGTGCGACAACAGTAGCGATCACATTCTGGACTTCATAAAATACTGTGACGCTCAGCGAGACACTACCTCATACTGCAGCAGCTGACCTGGATCGAGTTACCCACCGCGCAGGCGGTGTAGGAGTGGGACAGTGCAGAGGACTGGTGGCTTGAGGGGGCTTTGGGGAGGAGAATCCGATGCCCCTACCAGTGCCACCGCCTCTCCGCCAGGTGTGGCACTGGCCGCTGAGATGGAGGCAGATGGATCTGTGTGGATCTTAGGCTACTTCTGATCTCTCTTGTTCAACGTGTGACCATCCTGGGGGGCACAGAGTGGGGCCCTGGCAAAGGCATCCCCACAGCCTTGACGCACGTGAGATGTGAGATGCAGTCAGGCTGTGACCCACCCGGGGCAGTCACTACCTCGAGGGACTTGCACTTCCTGCCCCGGAAAACCACCGGCAAAGTGCGTGGGCAAGGATGGCCATCATAGCCATCAGCCCGGTGACGGCCAGGGGATGCCTGCTATGCCGGTGACTGCGGGTAGCTGATGAAACACGGTGTATCCATTCAGTGGGATCCCACCCAGCGCCTCCGAGAATGGGGCAGATCTTTACGTCAGCACATAGGAATGTTTCTGAGACATCTTAGAGCATGGCAACAGCAGGTTAGAGAATGACACATTCTCTATGACTTCCTGTGCACAGTGACACGAACCTATCAAAACATCAGGTATTTCATATGGCGCTAGACAATACATAACAGGGAAAAGAAAGATCTGGAAGCTCACACATCTGGGTGGAAGATCCCCGTGGAAGGCACTGGGGTTGGTTGGTGGTCAAAGGTGGTTTAAGTCTTGAAATGCTTTCATTTTTAAAAAATGTGGGAGGATTATAGATATATATGTACGGCGTTTGAAATACATACACATACCCACACTATCTGTCTATCCATCTATCTATCTATCTATCTCTTTAGAAAAACTAATTTAAAATTTCTCACTGGGAAAGAGACAAGATCTCACATTGGATAGAAGCTAACACTTTAAAAAAAATACATATTTATTTTTGCAGTACTTGGGATTGAACCCAGGGCCTCTGCACTAAGCCGTATCCCCAGACCTTTGTTATTTTTGATTTTAAGACAGGGTCTCGCTAATCTGCTAACTTG